GGACAGATGCTAAAAAAGACTGGCAATTATTAAAAATATCCCTGGAATAATTATCCAAGATAACATTTTGACTCAGAGCCATCAACAGCTACTAGAATTCATGGTGGTATGCAACCTCCTGAATTAAAGGTGGGCTGCCTGAGAGACCAGCTGTTAGAGAGCAAGAATAGAAGAGACCAGAGGTGTCCATGGGGAGGGGGTCAAAAAAGTCAAGATGGTAACCCCAACCATGCAATTGAAGCTCTGCATCTCTTTTTGGTGCACTGTGACATTCCTGAAAGAGATCTCTTGTGGTTTCTTGTCATGTTGTCACCTTCCTAGATCCATCTGCTTGAGCAGATTAGGTGGCCCAGGATACTGGGTGAGGTAAGCCTTTGGCCAGATCCAGCAGAGCCATTTCTTCTGCTATTTTTGTAATAGCATCCATATTATGCAGAAGAATCCCACTACATCTAATTATATCCAAACATGTGCAGCAAATAAGCATTTACTTTAAATTAATGTTTGCTTTTTATCTTGTTTGAGTCAATCATTTTGTTTTATTTCTTTTTTCTTTCTGCTAACAATTAACCAACCAAAACAAATGTTAGTGTTTTTGGCACATGTGAGACTTTTGATGCAAGTATTCTGTTCTTCACCAAATGGTAACAGTCATTTGAACTAATAATAAATTTTGATTGTTTTGCAGCCAACTCTATAAGCAAAAAAGTGGATTTCAGACTCTAGATTTTATTCGGAGCCAGATACATAGACTGCTGTGCAAAGAGGCCAGGCCTGCACAAAATAATCTGAGTTTTTCACCAGGCTATTGTGGATGATGTGGAGACCCCCATTTGGATTATCTTTAAACGTGTGTTGGTACTGCAAAACGTTTAATAGACATTTCTTCTAATATACACTGGTTCTAAAGTTTTTTGTGGATCCATAATCTGGATTGGCGAGGGACCACTAGAGACTGTGGGTTTAGAACAGTTATACACTGACAAACTGTATCCAAGATTGCTGTTATTTAAAGAAGAACATAGCCTTTATTTGATTGGATAAAATTTAATCAGAATGATTAAATTCATCTGGGACATAGTTACAATCGTTCATACTCTACTTTTTAAAACTGCATTTTGTAATGAAATATTTCAAAAAAAAAATTTTCATCATACAAAATTAGACAGAAATGGTTGGGTTCAATTATATTTCTACTATCTGTAAATACCTTTTCTATTTAGTATGCTTAAAATCAGAAACTATGAATGAAATTGTAGCACATTTACTACAATTGCCACCTTGTTGGATATTAGGCAGGTGACCAACAACTTCCCAAATCTGAATGCTAAATATCTGTATCTTTATTGATTCTGCATCCCGAAGATAGTTCAGCATACACTTTAATGGTGCAGTTACACAAGTTCAGAAGAACGCCTGTTGGAGACACTGTGGGTGGAACACAATTTGAGCAATTTGGGGTCATTGCATATCTCACGCAAGCTTTCCCTGTCATTATCCCAAGAGCTCAGAATTCAGCCCTGTGTCATGTTAACATTTCCATTCACAGACATAGCACTGGCGTTTCTAAATCTTGTCACAGAGCTGGATGGGGGTTATTCATGTTCCTGAGGCAACACTCCAAGATCAAGTAATCTGGTGCTGGCAGATGAATAACTGTTCTTGCTTAAATGTCTTTCAGCCCATGATGACTTAGAAAAAAAATTGAAGCTGTATTCAAGGAATAAAATGGATAAATCTGAATTATTTTTTTTTTTAAAAAAAGAATAGCATTAAAACCAGTAAAAAAGAATGACATGCCAGTTGTAGTTATTGAGCATATACCTTGCATTAGATCTAGTAATAAAATACTAGAAAGATCCTAGATTCCATTAAAAGTTTGAATAAGCAGCAACATTTGTGACTGGCATCTAAAGGCCATCAGAGAAGGCGCTAAAGGAGCCAACAGAGGAGCTGAATTCCTTAGTCCATAAGCTACAACCAAGACTCTTGTGTTGCCACCTACCTTTCTTCCAATGTTGGGAACACTCTGAACAAAGCCTTCAGTGGTGATCTTAATAGCTGGACAGGTTTACATGGAAGGATAGTCTTTGAAATATGTAGAGGTAAAAACTTTGTGGCACTTTATGAGTCATTGCTAGCAGTTGGGAAGAAACTGGTAAGGCTTTTGACCTTTTTCTTCTCCCTGCTCTGCATGCTAAAGCATGTGGTATAACTAGACTACCACCTTTCTGAATCTACACTATTTCAGAATACAGGCCAGGGAAATCCATGCCTGAAGCCTCCTGTTTAAAAAACTTGGATCAGCAAGGAAAAAAAAAAGGAATTCAGATGTTTTTCTTCTGAAATGCTCTCTATCAATTAGCAGAGAGTTCTCTGAGCGAGAAGGAAAGTTTCATATATGCTATCCTTAAAGTTGTATAGTCCCAGAAGACATTATTATTCACATTCTCTAAATCCATGGGTCCCTTTTTGGTCAATAAGTGTAAGTGAAGCCATTATGAAAAGATGACTATCAAAAAAGTACATCACTGTACTACTCTGCCCTGCAGTTTCATTAAGACTTGTTGAGGTGAATGCCCTGAACAATTAATCCATAGTTTGTAAAGAAAGGCAATGACTGGTTCCAGTCTTTTCGAACAATCAACTTTATACATCAGTATAGATTAATCATCCTTGACCGTGGGGTTCCTTTCCTCAGAGGTGCCAACTTGACTGAAGCCTTCTTTGAATACACATTTCAACTTAGCACCCTGGTCCTTACTCTCTGATGTTCTGCAGAGATTTGTTTGCTAGCTCACCCAAAGGACTAAGCCCCTTTTGTTTCATTTCATGGCTGGGGTCCAAGGGAAAAAGCACCAGAACTCCTGCATCCTACTGGAGAGCTGAACTTGGCCTGTTAGAATCTCACCATGAGATTTCTCTCACAATGAGTGTCATTGTAAGGACATCTCTTGGCTTGGAAGACAATGAGGAGGAACTCTCATATGCCAGTAGGCCCTCCAGCTTGAGTGTTAGGTGGCCTGTGGAAGGCCTTTGACATTGGCCCTGCCATGTTCAGGGCCTTTCCTTCCTGCTTCATTGGGCAGGGCAGCCTGTTCCTTCTCCTCTTGCCTCCAACCTAGCATTGTGTTAAAGATCCTGTTCCATTACCCTCAGTAATACTCCTCTTAACCTTATCTTTTCTTGTGCTCTGCAAGTTGGCTGAAAACCTATTACTAGGATTCAGTTCCTCAAAACCAGCAGCAATAACAACAATATGACAGGTTTTCAGAGTGTCTGGCATCTTCAGAATAATACAAAAAATAAATACAATACGCCAAATAAATACAAAAGCCACAAAGTGCAGGCAAAAGATATTTGTCAAACAATATAGAAGATAAAACTGTTGAACAAAATCCCAACACTGACAAAAGGCCTTGCGGCATTTGTTCACATTAACAACATAGAGATCAAGTGAAATTATGAGATCCACCCTGTCTGGACACAGGCTGTTACAAACAGGCTGCAATTCATGGATTCCACTACTGTTTCTTCAAAATATCTCTCAACTCAAAAACTGGGTGCACAGATGCGTCTGTGTGGCAAAACATATAATTGGGATAGTTGCTGGCAATAAACGAACATGTTTAGTGAAAATGCATATTGAAAATATATATTAGAAACAGATGCTCACAAAAATCAAATCAATAAAAATTATACTATATATAAGACAAATGCATATTTTTGCAGCTGTTTTTAAATAATTTACAAAAAAAAAAATGTTGTCGAACTAGATAGTACTGCATGCTAGGGTGACCTGGCTTAGATTTTGACTCACTCATTATTCCTACTTATGATAACTGACTCAAAATTCAGTATTAATATAAAGTAAATCCAGAATACCTTTCCCTAGTCTAATACCCGCCTCCATAACTCCTTCCTAAGACATGTTAGTCTCCAGCTTCCATAATGCTGGGGGATGAAGGAAGTTGATAACCAACATATCTCATTTCTAGCTAGGAAAGTCTGATCTAGAGGAGCTGTGAGTTGTTATAACCAACAGAATCTTGCCTCCAGCTGTTCAGGGATGAAGTCATGAAATATAGAATTTGGAGACAATTTGAGCCTAGGACATTTAAGGCTCAAATAAGCAACATAACATCCTAAATCGATAAGAGATTTCCTTATTTTGCTGTGATGTAGTCATACAATTATCTTTGTAATCTATGCTTCTTTTGTGATACCTTGGTTTGAAGAAAGAACTCTTTTTGTCCAGATTATATTGACACTTCCTATATGGAACTATAGTTACTCATCATGGCCACCACTTCCAATCCATTTAGCCCAAGCAGCAAGAGAACAAAACAGTGATGGACAGTGGGTTTGCAGGAATACATGTGAAGTTCTTTAAGAAGCTGTGGAAATTTTAGAACCACAAGTAATGACAGAGTTAGCAGTAATCCTACTAACTTGGAAATAAGGATAAGACCCAGTTTACATGAGGGCTTGGAAATTGCATATGACAGCATAATACTTTCACACTTGTACTTAGCAAATGAAGGTTGGAAGAAGCTGGGGAGGAGATATTCAGAAGTATTGTCCTATTGCTGAGAGACAAGTTGGAGCAGGAGGAGGAAAGCCTAGGCAGATGTTAATGTTCTCAACTTTATTTTCTGAATCCAAAAGAAGTAGACCTTGGGAGACTGAAAGGTAGAGTTAGGACAGAAGCAGAGTTTAAGCCTGTTGGAGATTGAAACATTCTGGTTATGTGTGAGAATGTTGCTGAGGGTGGGAATCTAACCTGAGCACTGTTTAGTGAAGGAAGAAGTGATAGAAAAAAGCAGCCCTACACCACAGAGCTTTTCTCCTTAGCTATCCTGCCTTTCATTCTTTCACTACCACACTCAACTTTAGTCAGTTCTTATCTGCCATGTTCAACTTTAATCTGCATTTTTAAAAAAGGGTTTTCTTTGGTGTGATGACTAAAGTTTAAAAGTTTGGTTTGAGGGTGTTGTCAGATATCACATTTGTTTCCATCTCATGGCATGAGAGTTTTGCTTCCATCGAGGGGCATCATTGTTTGGCTGTGCTTAGGGCATCAGTTGGCCTGAAACCAGTCCTGGAAGGAAGTAACCAGAGATTAGCAATCTCACAGACAAAAGTCAGTCAGAGCAATAGACAAAGAGGAGACAGAGAGTGAATTGTTAGTTTTCTATGTATATCCCACTGCTCCTCAAGGTTAGTAGGCCATGAGGTACTGAGGAAGCTGTGCCACTGGGTTTACTCCCCCACAAAGGGTCCCTGCCACAACCAGAATAGCTCATTATATTTACATGCATTATAACCCACTTTTCCAGTTACTGAATTGAAATGCTATCCAACCCTCCTCAAGGTGGCAGGAAAACAAAAATACTGGTATGAAAATGATGATCCCATTGCTGAGCCCTATGCTGCCTCCATAGGTGATATTCCCTTGATTGGAAAAAATGCAATAGAGTCAACTGACCTCTTGTCCAAGGTGGCAAAGCCAAACAAATTTTATATACTTTGAGGCTGCCCATAGAGAGTGTTGGCTTAAGGAGGAGGGAGACACTTAACAACTTAAGCCTATCTCACTCATGGGCTAAGGTCAAGACAAGGGTGACATCATGGGTATATGGCAAAATATGTTACCTGGGCACCTTTGCACTATGATTAAGGGCATATGGGGAAAAGCCTTAATTCACAGAATGATGATTAGCTTCAGAGGTCTTCAGAGTTCATTGACAGTTGATTTACAAGCAAGGATGTTGTCTACTGCTCAGATGGAGCATTTCCTTCCTCTCTTCCCTGGAATGGGTTCTCATTGTTGTTCCTCTGCTTTAGCCTGGTGGAGTTGGCCCTTCTGGTCTGCAAATTCAGAGCCAAATGACTATGAGGCCCAGGATTGTGATGTGACCCAAAGATGGGATTCCCCTACTGAGAAATCATTGGCAAGTTCAAAAGCTTCCTATCATAGGGTGGAGTATGTGTTGGAACCAGGGAAGAAAATGGAAAGATTCCCAAGCATTTTGGAAGAACGACTCACTGCAATCTGTTTTTAGTGCACAGATAGGGCCTTGTGTAGATTTTATAACAACACAATTCAACAGAAATCCTTACCTGCATTTCTTTTACAAAGTGTTCTCTTTGTTAGGGTCACTTTAGGATTATATTGCCATGTATACCATTTTGAACTCCTGAATGAAAGACAGGATATAAATCTAACAATAAATAATAAATAAACAAATATTATTCCTATCAGAAACCATCTCTATTTAAGGGGGGAAATGTACTAACTTTCTGTAGGTTCTGTTGTGTGTGCATGTGGTAAAATAAATGCCCATACAACTGTCATACATTACAATGTCCATGCATGTTTTGTACTTTTTCCTTAACTGGAAATGCTGAAGCTGGCTGGGGAATTCTGGGAGTTGAAGTCCACACATCTGAAAGTTGCCAAGGTTGAGAAACACTGGTCTATACTCTGACTGACAGTAGCTTGCCAGGATCTTCAGAAAAATGTCTTTCCCATTTTAAACTTGCAAGGCATGTCCTTTACCACTGAGTTATGGGATGACATTGGAAGCACAGCACTTTGGTAGCAAGCTAAATTCAAAGGAGAAAAAAAGTAATTTCCCAACGGGTGTAATAAGGTAATAATAAGGTAATTAATTAAGGTAATAAGGTAATAAGGTAATAGCATGGGAGAAAATGGATTGGACTCTAACTTGTGAAGGCAAATATGTATTATGTGGTAGGACTGCACAGATCTTTGAAGGGGTGCTTCACATCAACCAAAGTTTAAATGAAACACCCCCTTGAATGTGCTTTGTGAAACAAAGTGTTCTCCTTGCTTCTCAAAGCAAAGTAAAGCCATGACAGCATTGTGCTTGGCCTTGCTTCTATGACCTCCTCTGTATGTTCCAATACCCAAAGAAGCTTCTGTACAAGTGTGTACGCAGAAGCTTCTTCCAGTGTTTCCCAAAATACTTAAAAAGGCTTCACTGCTTGCATTTTGCATATCTCGTCTAGCTGTTTGATTTACCAGTTGAGGTTTCAGCAGGTTGTGATGTGGAATCCTTGGTGCTCTCTGAGCTTGGTCATTTGCTTGCAGACGTTACATTACCCAACTAGTAACATCATCAGTGCTAGCGAGTGTGGGGTTTGCTCCCTGTCTTATATACAGTAGCTTGCCCTGCCAGTGTTGGTGGGGGTGTGGTTTTCTCCTTGGTAGGAGGCTGTGGTGCACCTCCTGGAGGAAAAATGTCACCTCCAGTGTCTGAAGTGCCCCATCAAGATGAAACCAACATGTTTCACACAACCTACGATGCCATCTACCCTTGTCTCAAATGTTTGCAAATAAAGGTGATTTACATTGTTTAGAAAAAGTAAAATTATGAAGATATTTTTTTCTGTTAGCCATGATCAGACATACCATGAAAACTGATTTTCAGTATCATAAGGATTTTGCCCTGATTGAAGTCATTTCTGTATAAAAAGTGTTCTTGCAACGAAGTAGATGACAATATCTTATCCCTGGCTAATCCAGCCACTTGATTTTTGACAGTCCACCAACTTCTTTTTCCTGAATTGGAAACCTCAATATTTTATTTATGTACTATCATCAGGTTGAGAAGTAAAATCTGCAGTTGTTTATCTGTTTGTCTGTTATGGAGTAACATTAATCTCTTCCTGGCAAATGAAGACTCCAAGCACTTGGTATAAACATGTAGGGCAGATGGGAAATTGACTGGAGCTGTGTGGATGGTGTCATAGTTTGATATATCTTGGTGGTTCAGAGAGCAAGCCATGAACTGGAATCCCTCAATTTACCAGGTTGCCTCAAAGCTTGTCTTTCCAGCTCAGCTCCCTGTCTCTGATATGGTGATAATACTGGGCAATGCAATAATTATTGAGATTAGGTAGCTACAGTAAGTCATCTTTAAGTCGCAAAAGATATAGTATAAATACTTATTACAGGTAGTCCTCATTTAACAACCACAATTAGGACCTGCAACTCAGTCTTTAAGTGAAGCAATTGCTAAGTGAAACTGTGACTATGTTTACGATCTTACTTCAGCTTTTCTTTGGTTTACAGATCTGCGAAGGTCATAAATGTGAGGATTGGTTGCAAAGTTACTTTTTCATCACCGTCGTAACAGTGAACAGTTACTAAAGGGAACCAACGTATATCTGTAGGTATAAACAGAGGAAGGGAGGAAAAACAATTCTATGCAAAATGCAAAATAGTTAAGCCGAGGCATTTCCAGTCGTTTGGACAGAGTATGTAACTTACCAGAAGACTTATAAACATTCCTGCCTGTGAGGAGGAGAAGGCAACAGGGTGGCTATTGGGTTCCAAATAGAGAGAAAGTGATCTGTTTTGCAAAGACCTCTAATGCCACCTTGTGATTAAATTTTCAGCTACAGCTTTGTTTCATCTTGAAGAAATATAAAGAACTACAGTACTTAGTTAGGGCTACCCTATCTGAGCTGCAAAATGCCAGATGATCATTGGATAGCAATGATGTGCTGTCATCTAGTGGTCATCTGGAGTTTTGCAGCTCAGATAGGGTAGCCCTAAGTTATAATATCTATATCTGGGTCTATGCTAAAATGCCTTTTTAAAAACACCAAGAGAATCATTTTGAAGATGGAAATTGGGATGCAGAAGCGGCAGAGAAAAAAAAGGTGCTTAAACTAACCCACTCCAGACTCTTTCAAATGGATGGGTTGGCACATGGGCACTTGCAAACGGTGTGAACATGTGATCTCAACTGTACTGTAAAGTATTCCTATAAAAGATCATCCTAAACATTTTGTATGTGTGTGCCTCCAAGTCAGTCTTGACTCCTGTCCCTGCAATTTTCTTGGCAAGAGTTTTGGAAGTGGTTTGCTGTTGCCCTCTTTCTAGGATGAAGAGAAAGTGATTGGCCCAAGATCACCCACCTGGTTTCATGCCTAAGGTGGGATTAGACCTCACATTCTCCCAAATTCTAGCTCAGCACCTTTAGCCACTACACCAAACCAGCTCTCAGTCCTAAACTGAAGATGTCCCAAAAGGAATAGTAGTGTTTCTCGATACAGACAAAAGTCCTGTGAAATTACCAGCTTCTCTAGCTGGTCAACCTATAGTTACCATCTCCTGCAAACTCTCCCCTTCCCCCCCCCCAAAAAAGCCTGTTTGTGACACATTTGTGTGTGTGTGTGTATCAAACTACATAAGAATTAATATTAGTTCTATAGCTCTTTAACATTAATTGTCTCTACAATAAGGAATCTCATTTATAAAACTCATTTCCCATCCACATATACTAACCATTCTCTGTATGCACACATTGGGGGGGGGGTTTGTGGTGTGTCAGGGGTGTCTGTGGGGTAGGGTGAAAAAAAATCAGGATGGGCCCTGTGACTATGTGATCAAAACCCCACCCCTTTTAATGTGTGTTGCATGTGTGACACACCTAAAAAGAGGCAGGGCTTCAATTGCACAGTCATGGCTGTGATCTTTGGGCAGGATAATACTCAGCAGTTGTGGAAGCCTTCAACGCAAGGGCTAGTTCTCAAAAGCATTCATGCTAGTTCTTCTGCCAGCTAGTAGTCTTATCTGCAGCCATTTATATTTCCTGCCCTTTAGAAATAGATTTACTTTTTCATTATTAACTAATTGCATACTCAGTTTTTCAGCCCAAATGTGCTCCCAAAGCAGCCTACCACTAAAATTCACCATATTGATTATGTCTTGGAAGAAAAGAAGGAAACGTAGCTTCCATTTTAAGGTCTTGTGCCTATGACTTTGCTGTTTGGGGTTAGGACTAAATGAAATTTATATTGTGCAACGGGGACATCAACCAAATTTCAGAGAAAGAAGTTGAGGGATTTTGTGCAATATTTTATGAAAAGGGGCTATAATTGTTAATATAAATTCATGGTACTTATAGGGGGCATTTGGGCAAGTCTTTTACCAGGACTGTTGTAAGAGCATAATGGTTATAACACTTGCCTTGTAAACAGAATGTTGCTCGTTTGAAATCCTACAGAAACTATTTTACTTACCTTGAGCTTTGAACTTTTCCTTCTGCTTTTCTCTTTAAAGTCTGGCGATGCACCATTTCATTGTTTTTCCAGTCACCCAAGATGTAAAAAACAAATAAACAGGAAACAGGAAAAAGTAGAAGCTTGGGGAAAGAAAAATAGTAATAAAAAAATTCTGCCCAGTTTCAAACCAACAATGTTCTATTTACCAGGCAAGTATTGTAAGTATTGTGCTATTACATCACTGATGGGAAAGGTTACTCTAAAAGAAATTAAAAAGCAAGAGGGTGAGAAGAAAGAATTAAAAAAAAAACTGTGTAAGTGCATTTTGACTTTGTATATTAATTCAATTCAATTTTGTATATGTGTGTACATGTATGTATATACACGCACACATACACACACACATATATAGCAGTATATATATCCAGTATGGTTCACCCACAGGAAGAAAAGTGATTAGCCACTGTTTTCCTGGAACAGAAAGATGGGAGGTATGGTGAGTAAAGAGAATGGCCTTGAAGGTCAGAGGGAAGATCCACTACCAAACCAACAATCAGATAAATGAGACTTGAGCCCAGGCCAAGAAAGGTGTTTTGTGTAAAGGCCTCAGGCAGCCCCCCCCCCTTAATTCTCATGAAGATAAAACAGGGAGGAAGGGAAGCACATTCAGACTCACAAGATTCTGTAACTATAGCTCTTCTAATAAAAGTAGCTTTAGGTCCACATGGTGTCTGTTTCTTAGTCTGGTCTACCTGATGGGGCTGACAAGAGGGCACAGCAGCTGGGGAAACATTCAATGTGAGGACATAGTAACCCGCAGCCCAAACACTTTGCAAACAGTTGCCAAATTGCCTCAGTCCAGACAAGTTTTTCTTAAACTGGTTTATAGTCAAGCTGGCATGAACACAGGGAAGAGGAAGCTTAAACGGCATGTGTGGATGTGCCCTACATATACGGTATGTGGGAGAGAGAGAATGAGAAAGAGAGAGAGAGAGAGAGAGAGATTTTAATGGGTGCTATTAGAGGAACTCTGAAATTTTGATCTGCTAGATAAAAGTGCAAGCTGTGGAGTCCTTGGGGTTCTCTGAGCTTGGTTGTTTTCTTGCAAACGTTTCACTACCCGGCTAGGTAACATCTTCAGTGTTAGAATGGGATGGGG